ATAGATGTTGGCTATTTCATTAACACCAGCGGTGCAGCACTCTTCAAGCCAGAAAGGAATGTGGACGTCATTATTTCACTTGATTATGGTTTGGGAAATGTGTTCAAGGTAAGAAGATTGACATGCTCTGCTCCTTACAGTGCGGGTAACCCTCTTTCGTGAAGCTGTGAAGTTTAATAGCCAAATTAATATCTGCTGCTGATATTACGCAATGACCAGTTGCTCTGAAAGGGAATAATTGATAAAGGCATGGAAGTGTTGCCAGCATTAGAAAGGTCAGCTTGTGAGGCGAGCAATGGAGTTTGTTGGCGTTCTGAAGTGGAGGACTGAATGAGGTTTTTATCGGGTTATATGTAGGCTATATTGTAGGCACCATGTTTATGTAGGTTTAATTACATATTTCAGGGCTTCTGCAGGTCCACTTGGGTGGTCAGGAAAATTACCCCCCCTTCTCTTTATTTGGCTTTTGTGTTTGCATGGGAGGGGGGTTGAGAATTGACTAACAGGACATAACACAGAGTGTGCAGATCCTTGTGTTATTAAAACTCTCAGGTATGCAGCTGTCAAAGTCTTAATCATAGGCTCAAGAATAAGCTAGTCATCATATCTGGTAGCATGAAGGAAACTTCCTCTAAGATTAGAATTATGGAAACGCTTGCGCTCTTTTCTCTTTAGAGGGCTGTAGCATACACTGCCTAGGATCCTCTGGGAATTGCAATGACAATTGGTCACTGAAGACGTGACCATCATCTTTCCTGCTCTGCCCTCATGACATATTCTAAGTGTTGCTTTTGGGCACTCCCTCTAGCTGTAGAACATGTTACAGGGTGATGGAAAGTGTCTTCTGATTTGTGGTGAGTGGTGGCAGAAAGGGTTATTCTGTGGCTTTTTTGGATTTATGCATTCATTGCAGAGTCATTCCAGGGATTAAATTCAGTTGCCACAGTGTTTCTGTGTTATCCCAGTAAACCCGATTCTTGTCTTAGTGTTGGCTTTAAGGTGATCTCATTCTGTGTCCATAGCAATTAGAGATGACATATAGATATTGCAAGATACAAGGAATCCCATTCCCCAAAGTGGAACTAAGTAAAGAAGAAGAGAAGAATCCAAAGGAGTGTTATGTGTTTTCGGATGCAGAGGACCCCAGAGCACCTATAGTAGTCCATTTTCCCCTGGTGAATGACACGTTTAAGGAATTCAAGGAGCCTGGTAAGTTCACAGTCAAGAAGAACTATTCATTTCCGTTGAGTTTGGGCCAGCTGTCTTTCCACAACAAGGATCCTATTTGTCCTTTGTAGCAATAGCTCTAAGAGAGGGTACTGCCCCTGTGTGAGTGAGACCACCCTGTCCCCCACCTATAATGGTCATATACATGAGACTGCCTCTTCTGTTGGGCTGTGAATGAAGATGTCCAGTCGTCTCTCAGGCCAGGCTTAGGATACTGCTTTAAGCTTAAAATATATGAATTTATACCATGGCAGAGAAGCAGGATGTATTAACTCTTTTCCTGTTAACCTAGCTGTGTTAACCTTTTCACTAAAACCTGGTTTATGTTACCCATCTGCAGAGTGAAACTCTCTTTAATGGCACATCCCAGTAAGCCATGATGCAACAGAGGTATCCAAGGCAGATCTACATTTGTACAGGTTAGCCTCTACATTTCAGCTCAAGAGGCAGGTTAGCAAACCACAATGGACTCACTGATGCCTTACAGGGTAGACCATGGCTTCAAGCCACAGCTCACATTGCAAGACATAATGGAGAAGGTACTACTTGCAATGGGAAGATGTTGGGGAAAAGGGAAGGGTAGAATTCCGCCTTGGCCTAGAGAGGACCTAGAACATCTGTGCTAGGCCTGCTCCTCCTTCCCTCACCTTCTCCCATATCAGTTTAAGACACAGCAGTAAAAAAGCAGTCTGGGCACAGGTTGCAACTCCCACACCCTTGTTCCTTTGTCCAGCAATGGTAAGGTGATGCTTGTAGCCTGAGAGTCAGGAGGGAGTCAGAGCAGAAGGAACAGGCACATGGTTGCCTAACAGCTGAGTCCAGTAATTCTGTTATGAACAAGGTCAGAAGAATAAACGGTAGGAGGCGAAGTGGATGCAATAATTAATTGGCACAGGGATAAGAATAAAAGTTACTGATTGTCCTACCTTGGCCTAGCCATTGTACAGTGTTAGTACAAATATCATGGGAGAAGGAGTTTACTGGCTTTAATAAAAAGATAGCGAATAGAAAGAGCTGCTAAGAAACAACGCTGTTGGCCTGGGGAATACACAAGGAAAAGCCTGTACTAGCTCACAGAGAAGGGCCTTATCCTGTACTTGCTAAAGAGCATTGCAAAAGACTTTGGTGACTACACACTTGATTGATTAACAGAAAGCAAGTCTGTTAAGTTTCTCAGATAACACAACTCTTATCCTTCCTCCCATGTCTTCAGTGGCAAACGTTGTTTTGCTATAGGGGCATATGCAGTTGGTTCTGTTCTGCTTGGAGGCTCAGCAGCCCCTGGGCAGTGGGGTCTTCTTTCTGGTGCTGTCTTTGAATGTAGCTGCGAAGCAGCAAAGAACAAGGGGGCCTCAGTATAGACCAGGTTTTCCCAAGAGCTTGTGGGATACTCTGCAAAAATCAGCATGCTGGTGCTTCTGCCGTCTGACTTCGTTAAACTTGGATCTTCCTTTGCCGTGGACCTCTTACAGCAACCAACCCTGAAATATTTCACGTACCTGCTTTTGAGTTACCAGGCCCATAGGGAACTTCTGTCCCTCCCCGTTGCTCAGCACAAGAGACAGAGCATTCACTCTCTATCCAGCTTTACCCAAAACCGTATCGTGTTTCTGGGACCAAAGCAAGCAGAATGGCTGTCTCTGAGGGAACATTTAGGGAAAGTTATAAATAGCAACAAACCAGCAAGTTAAGTAAAGTAATGCTCTTTTTCTGCTATGACATTCACCACTGAATGCTCAGAGAATACATGCACGAACTGATGCACCAACAAAATCCCATTTAGAAACTCCACAGATGAACAGATGGAGGAGGTGCCCTGTAGATGGGACTAGGCCTGTTAGGTAGAGGCTGGAGGTAGTCTGGATGGCAAGGGGCAGTCAGGTAAGGCTGCTCAACAGCAGCTAGCAGGTAGAACAGGCCAGTGTTTTAGACTCACTCTAAATGAAGGATGGATGAGATCATGCAGAGTAAAGCAGCTGCTGCAGCTTCTATGTACTCCAGGCCCAAATCTTTGAGCTGTGACACTCACCTGTGTGTCTCTGAGCATGGGGTGATTCATCAGTCAAACTGACAGCCAGCAGCTGATGTGGGTGGTTGGGGTAGGAGGGCCCTTGGCAACCTGGTGATTTCGAGTTTAACAGTGGAGCTTTTCATTTCTAGATGGCTGAGAGACGCCTTGTGGAATTTGGATGTTTGTTTTTCCTGCTTTGAACTATTTAAATTCTAGAAAAGAGAAAGAATCAGCTTCCCAAGTGTGCATTTACATTGCGGCTATCAACTGTGCTTTGTGTGCTTGAGACAGATGCAGCGGCATAAATGTGGATAGTGCAGATTATATGTCTCTCTCAGTATTGAGAGGCTCAATGAAGCAAAGCTTGGACCCCTGTGATACAGCCACTTCTAGTGGCAGCCTGGGCCCAACACTTTGAGGTCATGCTGCCAAGAAACCACTAGGCCATTAGGCTAAAACCTGCTATGTCTCAAGCATAGTTCATGCATCATTTTTATGTGGTTCTCATAAGCGTTGTAGGGAATATCTCAAATGCAGTCTGTTTGTTGCCCAGCTGCCAATCATCTTCAATTACATTTTTGATTTGGGCACATTTGGTTCAGGCTGTAAGGAATTAGGTAAACAGGAGCATAAATACGAGGTTGTTGAAGTCATTGGCCCTTGCAGGTAGTCACAGTGTCTTGCTATTTGGCAGAAAGATTGACACAACAGGGAGCATGGATCGCAGTAGGTAATTCTCCCTGGTTAGCATCACAAGACCTCCTTGCAGGTACTAGATTGTCTAGCTGGCAGATATGCTGAACACCAGCTCTAATCATGAATTTGGGAAGCTGTTCCAGGTGTGTGGCTTCTCTGGGAGTCAGTTGAATAGGATTTGGTAAAGGACATGGACCCAGGAGTACACTGCCCAGTAATGACTAGCTGCAGCAGCAGGACAAGGAGGGCAGGTAACGATTCCTCTGAGCCCCCCTCGGGGATTTCCAGGTCTGAGTTTTAGCAGGAAGGGGAAGGAGGAGCAGCTGGGAAAGCTGACCATGAATGGTTGTTTCAAGGTGTGTGGGGGTGAGATCTGCATTCTCAGGGAGCACGAGTTCCTGGAGGCTGTTTTTAACAGCTAATTCTGCTAACTAGATCAATCCCTTCTAACACTATGTACTTTATATTCCAGATTCAGCTCACTGTGGTGGCTTTTCTCTTCCTCTGCAGGGGTAAAACGCTGTCGCACAGAGATGGAAGAGGGCAAAGTAAATCTGGAGAACAGCTGCTCACCCTATTACCTCATTAGGTTAATCTACTCCTCTGAAAATTTTGATAAACTGGCGAACCTGAGCAGGTACAATATCCTCAATAACAAAGACCTGCTCCTCCAGGCAATCCGGAGTGCCGTTGAACGGAGGAGAGGAAGCAGGACCGGGAATCTACCCAGCCGCTCTGGATTTGAATATGCCTAGGCTGGGTTTTTGCACTGTTTTCCCACTGAAGGCTATGGCAGTCACATTGTGACACATCACAGTGTTCATTATTTGCAGGAAACTGCAGAACCTGTACATTTCTCATCATGCCTTGTTCAAGTACCTAGCTTTCAAAAGGGATTATTTAACACCCCCCCCCCCAACCAGGTTTTCAGACCATAACAGCATCCCACTGTGGTCTTATTTGCCAAGAAGTTGGGTCCTGATTAGCAGAGATCTTCCAGGAACTGCTCCGTGTTATAAAAAATTGATGGTGGTGATAGTAAAAGTTCTTTGTATGCCTCTGTTCCCTCCATACTTAGCCCATTATCAGTGTCTTTTGGATGATTAATTACAAACCAAGTCCTGGCCATTTGCATTCAGTCGTGTCCGGATTTTCAGATAGGCTGAACAGCTAGATTTGCGCTGAATTGGTGGGCTCAGCTCTGAAGTCAGGCCAGAGTCTCATATATTTGTGAACAATGGCCAAACTGCAACGTGCACAGTTACGTTCTGTCTGGCTGATTTCCCTTGCTGAATTAGAAATTATTCCTTTACTCCATTCCCCTAAAAGAGTTTGGCACAGGAATGCTGCTCTAGACTGCCACTAGCAGGGCAGTTACATTTCAAGGAAAGATGATGTTAGCTGCAAGGTGTGAGTACAGTTATTTTGAGTGTTGGAGGAGGAAAAATTCTGCATAATGCACGAGTGATTAGAGTGATTTATACTGGGTAGTGCCTTTATGAATTAAAATGTCAGAAGTCTGAAACAAGCTTTTGACACCAGAAACTCCAGGGGAATCATCATCTTAGGCACAGGTACAGTTAAGTTAATAATAATGACTGAGATATAAGCTAGTGCTCCTTTCTTAAGTATATGAACTGAAGGTGGGGTTTAATAACTCATTCATGTAGTACTGAGTGTATAGCCATTGTATTTTCTTACTCAGAAGATTTTTTTTTCCCTTTACAGTCCTCTATCCCTAACATCATAGGCAAGGTATTTTTTTACTAGGTGGTACACTAAAATAGTAGAACACAAATGAAAAAAAGGAAATTCTTTTTCACACCTCTTTGCTGGAGAAAAATGTTTGGAAAAATTGTTCCTGGTTTTCATTTGCTTTGGAGTGCAGTGAGAGACATTACTTTGAACTAGGAGCTTGGAATATCTTTATAGCCCTCCACTATATTAAAAAAGATGGTAGGGAAGGATGCTAAGCAGTATGAAACATCTTCATCTGGTGCAAACCAACAGAGCTCCACAGAGGTCGAAGAAGTTGCCTTGCTTTATAGCACTACAAGATTTGGACTTGCCTTGGGCACATTTAATCCAAACACAGCATATTCACTGGGACCTCCAAGGAAAATGTTACACATTTCATATGTACTGGAAATGCGCTTGGTATCTAGAATTGGTTTTAGTCTAGAATTTCTGAAAATCAGACAACGAGAAATACGGGTCTGCCTTTTTGGTATATACAGCCCATAGCCAAGGTCAGAGAGAAGGCATTTAGAGAAGGCTTCATTGCCTCAACCCTGCATCCACTAAATGCTATCTTCTGCTGCAAGTAAAGGCAGTGAATAAGGCATAAGCTGTCTCAGGAATATACTGTGTATAATATTTGCTGAGTTAAGCAGTATTGTGCAAAAACCTGAGGAGTTTTAACAGCTGTGAATGCAGTTATATAACTGAATTCAGGCCATCAGATGATAAGAACTAATCAGATATTGGCTACAGGAAAAATTAAAAAGCCATTGTGAGCTAAACAGTAAGATGGCAGCAGGGTGCTATTGCAGATGAGCGTTGCACTGGGTGTCCGCATGTACACATGTGCCACTGCGTGCATGCACAAGCACAGGGTGCAGGCTGTTTTCATGCTCTTCTGGCTGAGCTCATGAAGAAACCCCTTCACATTACCCATTTGCACAGGATGCAAGCCGCTTCCTGCTTGGCTGGGATGAGCTGCACCTCCCCTCCCACGGCCCCGTGCGCTCGCTTCAGCAGCATCCCGTGCTCAACACACCGCAGCTGCTTTGCCTTGTGCCACCGGTGAGCAGGCAGGGACGGGCAAGGAGCGTGTGAGGCTGCCGCATGGCCCCCTCCCCGTGCCCTCACTGCGGGGTGCACTTGGGGCACCAAATTGCTGCCTGCCTCTTCCAGTGCTATGTTATTACACGGATGGTGCAAAGGGCTGAGCCGAGGGGAGGCTGAGGCTGAAGCACCTGCGATGAGTTGCAGGAATAGCACCCCTTTCTTTTCACAGCGGTGCTCAAAGGCCTTATGTCAGTGAGGGACACCGATGGCCTCCACAAGAGACAGGTGCGATTTATTTTGCCCTAGAACCAGCATCTAACTGAAGCTGGGAGACTTGGCCTTCAGGAAGAAAGATTCGGGGTTGGGGGGGGGGAAGCCCCCAATTGCCTTTTGTTTATGCCTCGGCCATATCAATAAGAGGAATAGCACCTAATTTTTACACTCTGCTGCTGCAAAAAATATCCCTACTTCATTCATAGGCTAGAGTCCGTGCTCCTTAACACTCATGGATCTTGCAAGCGTGTGCATGGCAGCAAGTCACTTCACATGCACTGAGAAAATGGAGTCTCTTTAAATGCGCCACAAACTGGTACCTGGGGCTTGTTTGGTGCGTTCATAATGCTGCTAATGCAAACAGAAATGCCTAATAAAATGTGGAAGGGCCAAAATAAGCAGGGTTTTCAAGTAACCCACATAGGTTAGTGGAGAATAACTTTCCTGAGGGACTGTTAAACCCCATTATAAAGCAACTGGAGGTGGTTGTAAGAGCGAGGTGGGAGAGTGTTGTAAGGCTCCCTTTGCCCAGGAGAGCTGTCACCTAAGGCCGTGCCTACACTGCTGAATAAAGTGGGGCTGGGGGCTGCTGTTTAGCCTTGCAGACAAGAGGCACAAACTGGTCACATCCACTCATGTGTTCCTTGACATCCTCAGGCTCTGTGTGGTACCCCCCGCCCAGCCTTAAAAGATAATATCTATTATTCACGTGTTTTTGCATTTCAACAAGTCTGGAGTTATGTGAGGGCTGTATCACTGCCCATCAGAGTGTTGGTGCTTTTTTTTTTTTTTGGTAGCATGAAGCTGAGGAACTATGTTCTTGGCCTGATGGCATGACAGGAGGACCTGAGGGTGTCTGTGCGGGCAAAGCCTGGCCAGACAGTGCTGGAGGACTCTGCAAGGTGGAGAGAACCAGCCCTGGCACAATCCTATCCATGCAGCTTCTTTGGAGGTGCTGGCTGGCACGTGCCATCCCCTAAACCACTCTTGCCCACTGTTTCAGAGCATGCGAATTTGCACAGTCCAAATCCCACAGAACTATGGACATAGTTACAGTGAAGAAGCAAGGATTATCAGAGACCAGTGCTCAGGTCTGCTCCTTGGTCCTGTTTTCTTTAGCAGTATATATGGAGTCTTGGGAACAGATCACTGAAATATCGTGTACTTGTTCCTCAAAAGTGGTATGTTTATTCTTTATCCCATTTCTTGTCTGGCCTTGTGCCGTGTGCTGTCAAATGAAGGAGAAAGCTACCTCTCTGCATCTCGCCATGAGAAGGCATGCGTGACAAGGCACGTGGCGTGCTTCTCAGCAGGTCCGTGCTGCTCTGAAGGATTCACATCTGCTTGACTGCTGAGGGTGAATTCACATACGCAAAAAACTCACCCAGAATGCGCCTAGATCCCTGCTCTCAGATAGACTTGCTTCTGGAAAACCCACACAAATATAGAGCTTGCTATCTGCTGCCAAATGCAGAGGAAACAAAAGTTTTTCAACTCTCTTACCTACTCTTCATAGAAATTGCCCGTGTCTCTTAACTGTTTAATAATATAATCTTTAAAAATAAAATTTTGCATAAAGAGCACTGGAGCCGTGAAAATCTTTATTCACTTAAATATATGAAAAAATCTTTATTCACTGAAATAGAGGACAACAATTACTGACTTGTGTCAGCACTACTTACGCTGGCTGTCTGCTGAGCAGTTTGTAGAGCATTTACTGGTTTCATGATTGGGTGGACAGATGAGAAGTTCTGGCTCACAAAGGCATTGAGAGCCTTGGAAAGGTGGGAAAAATCTACCTTTAGTGGTAAATAAACCATTGGCATAAGAAAGCGTAGGAACACAGCTATGCTGGGCCACAACCAAGAGACAGTATTATATTGCCTCTTGGTGATTTTGTTTAAATGTGTACAGAAGTCTACCTTTGACTGAATTTCATTGTTATCCATTAGATGGTAAGTAAGTGTGGAATACCTAAGATAACTCTTCCCTCCTAAATATTGTTTTTCTGAGGGAAAGTGGTTAAACATTATCAATAATGAAAGGAAAATGCATCAGTTTTCTATTTTTTGTGAAAGAAAATGGCTCCAGCAGAGGTAGAGAGAGCCAGCCTAGCCAAAACCCCCACAACGTTTAGATCACCTTGTTGGACTGATCTGAATCAGTCAGAACACAAATTTAAACTTTAGATGTTGCACGTATCCAGTAAGTACTCAAATAAACCTTGTGTTATGCACTCTCCTTCCCTCCCACTGGAAAAATAATTAATACAAAGTAGAAAACTGCAACAAAGAGCAAGGAACACGTGCTTCAGAACAAATAAAAAAGGACTGAGTCTGAAGTCCTTGTCAGATGAGTAAGGAGGTGAAACAAATCTTCCACTTCTCAGGGAAGAGCTTTAGATGCCCTTTCTTCTCACCTTTGTGCTAGGTAACTTTTCTTTGGCTCAGTGACAGAGAGAAGTAATAAAAAAATAAATAAATAAATAAATAAATATTATACCCATGATTGCATCATACCTTAATGAGCAGAGTCTAAAATCCAAGTGCTTGCACCAGTAGGTAAGTATTTAAGCAAAAAAGGGCTATGTAGGTCCCATCCCCACACTGAAGGGGGTCAGCTGATCACTCCTTCCCCTTAGCCTCACAAGCCTGGCTAAACCCTGCCCAGCAGGACTTGCAGCTGTATCTCATGTGAGCCATCGCACTAGCATGTTATTTTGAGGTGCACCGAGATTCTCTGTCTTTCCTTTTGGGTCTCCTCTGTTTCACACTCACTGGTTTAAAAAGCTATTTCAGAATCAGAGAGCTGAAACTTGCTCTCTACTAGCCCATTGGAGAGGTTGAGCCTCCAGACACAAGAGCATTTGGTCTCTGGACAAAAGCTCACGACCAGCTTGTATGCCTGCCACTTTCACAAATTATTATACCTCTTAGCTATAAAGATTTTAGGGACATAGAAGTGAGAATCCCAGCTGAATCTTACTGCACGCTAGGCCTGAGGCATAGAAAGGCAAACACAAAGCCACCAGCAGTCCTAACCCATATACTTGTCTTCCAGCCTATGGCTTTCCCCTGAAAGAGCACTGACCATCTCACCTGTGCTCACGGGGAGGAACTACACTTCTAAACCTACCCTAATTGGTTATTTCCCCCCCTCCCAAAGAGAATGGAGGAGTTTTACTGTCCACAGCTGCTAACAATTTCCAGGTATAGCATGTTGCTCACTCACCGCTCCGATAGGGCCACCTCGGAGAAAAGAGTTATTAACAGTCCTGGTGTAGAGATGAATGGAGTTTGTGGTGACAAAAGGAAAGGTAAGCTCTGTGAGCTGAGGCTGCCAGCCTTAGTTAGTAAGAAAATCTTATTAATGCTGTTATGTTGTGTATAATATAATGTTATAACTAAAAGTTATACATGATGGCAAGCATCACACTGTGTCTAAGTGACAGTGTGTGTGTGTTTGGGGGGGGGGGGTGTACGTGCTTGGTGGAGAGGGAAATGGAAAGAATAACATTCATTTCAAATCAAAACCTCCCCTTCCCAAAACAACCGAAGCTATCTAACATATAGGATATAAGCCATCTTGCTAAGTAGTCACTATCAGTGTTTTTAACTGGTTTGGGTTTTGTGCTGTACAGTGAGTAATGCTGGTAATGTGTCCAGGACTGGTCTGTGCCACTTGGAGTTCTCCAGGGCCACGTGTGGGGCTTCCAGCGCCCCAGCTGGGCTTGGGCACATACTGGGACAGCAGGGTGTTCAGCAGAGCCCACTGCTGCACTTGCACATCTTCCCTTGGGAAGTAGTGAGGCTTAAGGCATTGAGATGCTATAGGGAAAAAAACAGGATATTTGTAAACATCAAAGTGGATTAGATAGGGTTCTAGTTTTTTTGGTTTTTTAAAGGGTTGTGTGTGTGAAGGGGTGTGTGTATGGGGGCGGGCTGGGCTTGCTGGCTTGGCATCTCCATGAGTTCTTTCATTTCTCCTGCCCAAAGTCACTAGAAGAACCAAACCTGCCTCTCCTGGCTCTCGTTCTCCCTGGCACTACTCACCTTCAAGCTACTGTTAATTCACCCCAAGCAACAGTTCTCATAAACTGTTCTTTTTGTAGGAATCTAGGATTGGAAAAATCACATATATCTAGGCCAGGTTTCCCTGGAGAAAGCATGTAATACACAGTCCATAGCATATCCACACTGTTCCATGCTCAAGGACACAAGGTTTTTCCTAGAGCCTCAGAACAATTTAATGTCCAGTACCAGACGAGGGAGTAAGCTGGCAAGAGTCGTGTCTCACAGAAGTGGCATGCAGCTTCTTATTATAGGCCTGCTATGGAAGAATTAGATATGATCCCATGTGGCCAGTTCTCCTCTTAATGTTAATGCCAATATATTCAGGCAGCAAGATTCTTTGGGCAAAGATTTTAGCTTCTTGTTTCAAGCATGCACAACCGATTAATTGATATGAGTAATAAAAGTAGCATAAAACTATAACTTTATGTGATGATAAATTATCAAACAGTGTGTGTTGCAGAGTGACAAATCTAGGCAGAACCTTAAAAGTGCCCAGGCCTATGGGAGCAGCAGTCTTAATAATGGCACTGATATAGGTAACAAAAAAATATGTATATAATCCACATTCAGGGGATATAAACCAGCTCCTGAAAGCAGAAGAGTTCTTTGCAGGAGGGAAAAGAGGAGAAGTGAGTACCAAAGCACAACGCAATCAGGTTGGATTGGAAAGCAAACCAGTACTCACACCTGAGATAACTACGTGACATTGCTTCAATTCGTTCTTAGCTGATTCCTGGCAGTCAGCACTGCTGGAAGATTTATGATCAAAATAAGACTAGTGATTTTTATCTTTGATGCTCAGATTGAGCACGCTATCCCCTTCTTTCTGGTGCATCTGGGGTGCTTTCTGGGATGTCCTTTCACTGCTGATGTACATCATGATGCGCATATCCTATTACCCTCTTCGGGGTTTCTGCTGGGAAAACTTCTCTGGGGTAAGCAACGTCAAAATATCTCACACGCATCTTGGTGTAAGAAAGAGCCACACTTTCAACAGGTACAGCTGGCAGTTACTAGAGGTTTTACTGAGCAATGGTAGCTTACGCCTTGTGGGACCCAATGGCTTGTGCCTCCACAGCCTACTGTGCAGGGTAGGTGAGGACATGGCACTTGAAACTTAACGTATGGGGAGGAGGAAATGAGGTGTGCACAGGTGGATAGGGATCGCATGGATAGGGTCCTCGTTTGGGATGATAAGGCACATGAGGCTTCTGCTTTGCAAGCTAGAATTGGTAAAAGTGTAAGGACTGAGCAATGCAGTGGTGATACTAGCAGGCCATAATATCTGTCCTACTGGGAAAAATACTGGGAGACCTACACTACATTATAAAGTGCTGTACACTCTGCACCTATAATTTGCTAGTAAGCCTCAGGCTACCTGTGGGTGTGGATGCTTATAAACCCAAAGCATTAATTTATTCTTCTATTAACATTTGCAATAATAACAACGCCAGGCTTCCCGCCTTGACCCCTCAGCCCTCTGGTAAATGACAAAGAGATGTTTTCCTCTTTATTTGCCCAGCAAACTGGTGAACGCAACACCTCTGAAAATACTGCAGAAACTACCTTTGAAAAGTGACCGTGTATAGCTTAGCACGCTAGTTCTGCACATGTGCCTTGATCTTAGTAAAGCCATGCATTCTAACCACCAAAATTACAGCCCACCTAGATGTGATAATCATTTCCATTTTTTATTGTAGAAAATGATTTACATTGGAACAGCAGAAAGTGCATTGGTACAGTGGCAGGTGCAGAAAGGGAGGTTTACCCTCAATAATTTAATCCCATGGTGTTCTGCATTTCTAATGTGTGAATCACTTTTAACAGGTTAAAGGTCTTCCTTGAAAGAATCTGGCAAGCCCTGAAGAGTTCATTTTATTAGGAAATAACTGCTCTCTTATTTACCTTCTTCCCAGGACTGACATTCAGGTGGCTGCCAAAGGATTTTGTCAGATCGTGAGTGAGGTTAGTGGTTACATCTATTGCTGTGACTTTGCAGAGCGCCGTTCAGAGCACTATAGGCAAATCTATTACACTGAAGCTTTGCACAGCTGAGTCAAGAGGTCCTTTACATGAGCATCTCAAGGTAAAATAGGGCATTAAAATATTGTAAGATGAGACAAAGTATTAAGTGCAATAATCTTGCATACATGGAGATTCGGGATCAAGTTGCAGTTATTCTTAGTCATGTCTCATCCAAGACCGCAGTAACTTGATTTAGCGTGACTGATGATCCCTGGGAGGGAGGTATATACCAGACAGCATCTAATTCCTCCCATTTGTGAATATTAAACTCTAACAATTTAAAGGCTAAAGTCTTTCATAGGCCTGCAGCTCTGCCCACCTGGATTGTGACTGTTCAGTCTCTGAAATGATGACAGCTCTTTTTCAAAAACTGCTTCCACCATGGTTATACGATCAGACCTTTCTCTCAGTATATACTTTTGACTTGTCATCTTTTTTCCAAGGCAACAGTGTGTTGTAAAGAGAAAGAGACCATCTTCTCCAGAAAATATGCTCATGCCATGCTCTTATTCCACAGTAAAGAACTTTTTCAAGACATTTTTTTTCTTTTATTTCTCCTGCTTTCCATAAGACTCGAGATCTTGTTTCATCGTGGTCAGTGGACTAGTATGAGTCCTTGTCTTCACACCCGCATCCTCAGTCTTAGTCACTGAAAAGGAAATAGTAATACAGCATCGCTATTGGGATGGGGAATTTGGAAGACGAGCTTCTCCTGACAAACGTACATCTGTGTGCATGTGCATAGGTGTATATGTGTGTACATGTGTGTCAGAGGGGTTCTGTCT